AATGCCGTCGTATCACGTGATCCAGACAAACCGTTAAGATGTCTTCACAGGCATGTTTAGTTCGGTGCTATTGCAACACACTCCCTCAGCTAATATGTTGGAATTTTGTATACTGAAAACCTGTTATCCAGATGCTAATACACCAGTAAGAGAGCCAATAAGTGCAATGGTGACTTCAGGACTATTGACTTTTGATTGAACATAATGAACTTATCGTTGTCTACAAGAGGATGGGCGATCGCCAAGATAGCCACCTCCCCCAAGCCATGAGTGAGCGTCAGAAGATATCTTCGCTCGCACTCCAGTCATGTCTTTCTCTACATTCCCAATACTTTCCATTGTGCGCCCAATATTCCTCTCCAGTGATCGGACATTTAGCCCTGGTGAACCACTGAGGGCGGTACTCCTCGCCTCTAGCCTCCCTCTCCCGACGCTTCGCCCGTTGCTTTTCTTCAACCCGATGTTTTTCATTGGCAGCCAAGTCATACTCGCCGTCTTCCATTGCACGCTGGTCAGGGCGGAGTCGCGTGTCAGTAGGCGGGAGATGTTCTCTCAAGCCTTCTGGAAGAGCATTCAGTGTGATGACAAAGGGTGTCAGATTGAAAGGAATTCCGCTTGGCCGAGGATGGCTCTGCCAAACCAGAAATGTCTTAGCCGATTCGGGGTCCTGACCGGACACTTGCGCTTCGAACCCAGGAGTATGGCGTGCGTAGATTTTATCATTCCAGCGCCCACCAATACTCCATCTCGGTGTTCCGTCGCGATCAACGACTTTGCCAGTCACCTGGTACGCAGAAGACGCCTTCCAGCCTCTCGGTTTAAAATCCAGGTAGCAAACCTCGCCGGTAGTCCAGTTTTTGATTTCCATCAGACCGTAATTGTCAACGGTGGGATTGCCTGTGATAATGCCAATGACAGACGAGGTAACTTTCTTCCATGTGTAAAGCTCCTCTCCGCCTGATACGGGACGTAGTTTCAGAAACCAGGTTCCAAGGAGGTTGATATCGAATGATTTGCCGTAGAACTTCGACTTAAGAGCGGACTCTCCCTGTGGAAAGAAGCTTAGAAAGAAGGAAACGGTGGCACAAGAGGGAGAGCTATTCAAATCTTACCCAATAATCCCACTTCGGTGACTCGGCCCACGCTGCGCCAATCGGTGGGTGATGGCTAACCTGCTCAATGAAGAACCTATATCCCTTGTCGGGCCGCGCATATTCGAAGGTCTCTCCGAGAAGAGGATTGAAAGGCTTTGCCACACGGCCAATTGTTGAAGCATATTCGCTCGCTGCGTAAGCAGCTACATACACCAAACGCTCCATCGAGTCGGATCGGTCAGCCGCGATATCCAGAAGGTCAGCATATTCTAAGTCCTCCGCCACTCGTTGAAGCAATGATGTCGGCTCGTTGAAAGATACTGGTAAAGTCATCTTTGTCATGTCCTTGCCAATCATGGATTTCAGGATTCCCTAAAGCATCACCTTAGATTGTTTCGATCCTAACTTGAGCAGGTACTCGCAATCACTTACCCACAAAGAAATTTTCGGTCTATTGTCGTTGTCCAGCTTGAGTCTTGTCCGTACGGGCTCTTCGTAGCCCTTGAAAGAGGGGACTATCTCGTCCCGTTTCACAGCTCGAGGTTCAGTGCTTTCTAATCCTAGCTTTTCCTTCTCTTCCTCCATCACTTTCGAAGTAGTCATGTCTTCCACTTCTATCTCGCCAGCGTCGATAGCATCAAAAAATTCATCATCGTCGTCCGATCCAGAATCGTACAGGCTGCTGATGCGAGATAGGGCCGACCTCTTGCGACGTAGAGACTTCCCAGACTCGTTCTCCTCGTTTTCCGTCATGTATTCCACGGGCTGTGCAATTAGTTCTTCTGCTTCATCTCCGCCAAGACGGCTGTCTTCCCCAGAGACTTGTATGCGGGACGGAGCCTTGCTGCCACGACGACTGGTACGTACGGGCACGCCTTCCAGAGCTTCTTTGAGAGCTCGCTTAGTACGTCTGCGCTTCTCTTCGGATTCCCCCATCTTCGATTGCAGCTCTTCGTGCTCCTGTGCAATGCGCGCCATGCTTTCCTCCCACATTTTGCGAAGATAAGCCTCTCGGTTAAGTCGGTATTGCCAATAAGAATCGCGATCCCGCGATATTTTGAGAAGGTTTTGGACCAGACCTTGCAGGCTGCTTACAGCCGCCTCATAAGCTACAAGGGCTTGGCCAACGGTGGGGTCCGAGATTGGCACGTTCGGATCCTTCGATTTCTCGGCTTGCAACGCAGCGACGACATTGGCCAGAATCTCGAGTTGAAGTTTTGCAGATTGCGCCGTGATGTTCAGCGCATCTTTATCGGAAGAACTGATATCACGACTAGACGCGTATTCGCCATAGTCGTCCTCGTCGCCTTCGCCATCCGGATGGCTAGTTACATGACTGACTACCCGATTGACTTCGTTCTGCAAAACACTCTGGTCGTAAGAACCGTGTACTGAGACTTCCTCATCTGCAGGTACGCTGTCAAGGGTTGTACGAGACGCATATGTGGTGAGTCTGTGAGTGCTACCACTTGGCACGCTTAGAGAAGGAGGTGCTAGACCTTTCCCATTTGACTTGCTGGCGGCCAGGTTCGGGGATTCGGATGCAGTTTCTGTTGGACCCCGGCCTTCGATCTGGTCCATCTTTGCCTGGCGAAGCGCCTCAGCATGTCTTGTCTGGCGTTTCTGTTCCTCCTTTGCTTCGTCTTTCGCCCATTGTATGGCATTGTTCAGAGTCCAGAACCAGCGTTTAGCCTCCACGACATGGTTCGCTTTGAGATGATATTTGACAGACGACTTCCCATGTATTTCAAATCGCGTCTTGTCCTGCGCGTCCATGCTGAGCCTGGCGATCTTCATATTTATCGCGCCGCGACAAGCGGAGCCCGCGTCGTCTGAATGAAATGTCAATTTCCCGTGGTCTTCAGAGATGAGGGGTACCAAAGATAGGCTTACCTTGATGTTTGTAGTAACTCAGGACGCCGTCTTCAAGCACGAACCATCGCAGCTTATATCCACTGGTATAATTCGTCCATTTCTTTAAATAGCCTCTCATTTCACGCGCATCTTTGCCCGCGAGCGGCGCCTCACCTGCCCCTGACCGTCCAGAGACACCTTGAGCGGGACTGCTGCCGAGGATGGCTTTCTCTTGAATCCCACGCTGTGCGATAACTGCTGCAGGAGATTTCTTGACAATGGCACGCGTCTTATCGTCTTTCGTAACATCTTGAGGTAGCCTACCTTTCTTATCGCGCCGGAAAGGATCAGCTCCGTGCATCAGTAGAATCTGGATGAGTCTCGTATCTTTCTTTCTAGCGCCCTCATGCAGCAAGGTACCTCCAGACTGTGCGGTAGTCGGGTCGGTGACCAAGTCCAGGCTGTTCACATCTAGGATTCCCTCCACGCGCGGCTCCTCCAATACCCTCTGAAGGCTATCGTAATCGCCTTGATACACAAGGGACTGAATTTCTTGTGTCTTGCTGTCAATAAATAGAGATCTTGCAAGCTGGAGCTGTTGAAATATTTCGGGGTTACGCGCAACATCAAGGGCAGTCTGGCCACGGTAATTGACAATCGAATCATTCACTGATGGACGATTCAGCAACTCGCGCACTAGAGGTCCTCTTCCTAGCTGCGCCGCAAGATGAAGAGGGGTATTCCCATCCCGATCGCGGGCGTTGATATCCAGGTCATCTTCCAGAGACAAGACGAATTCGACAACCTGCGGCTCGGCACACTGAATTGCTAAATGCAGAATGGTTGTGCCAGTCAAAGCGCCTGCCCCTTGAGGTTCCCTGGTCTCCTTAATCGCTTTCGATATCGCATTTGTGTCCCCGCTCCGCAGAATCTCGAATAGTCGAAAGGTGCGCACGGATTGCTCAAGTGTCATGCTTCCAATCGCTGAATGAGCTAGAGTTGGCATTTTCTCGACATTTTCTGCGCTGTGATTGGAGTCGGTTGGCTCAAGCGACACCTCTGAGTCCATGGGAGGTGAGTTGGCCTCTTGGGGCGACTTTCGGCGAATGCTATTCTTATGTGACAGCAGCGACAAAGAGGAGGTGCTGTTAACCGGAGAAGACGCGCCAGACTCAAGCGAACCACTTTCACGACCGGCCAGATCGTCGTTGATGTCTTTTGATTTATCGCGATGTAAAATTGCAAGGGCCAGTGCACTCTTCGATCGTTTGTGTCTAGTATGGCGTGTTGAGTCAGTAAAGTGGCCACGTCGCGGGGATGATTTGAACATGGGGAGAAGAGAGAAAGCAAATGTGAAGGCAATCCAGACAGGTATGTTCCAGAGCAGCTCTGAAGCTAGGCATCTTCTCTAAAGGGACCGAGCTCATCGAAAACAAGGTGACACAGTATCTCTAGGGAACGGTTCACGGAAAACCGAGGGTATCAGTCAAGAGGAACTTACCCTTCGCCCCTTTCCGTCATTTCTCTATCGGCACTAAACGAAGCTCCGAGATGGATAGAGAAACTCGAAGCAGTGGCATAGACGGTTGGGAATAATAAAGAAAGAATTCAGAAACTCAATAGTTTCATGAGCTCACGGGTTTATGATTATATATATGTATATGTATGCGGTTGACGGGCAGTGGGGAAACGATAAGGACTACTTCGTACTTTGGTTGAACTGGAAGGGAAATGTTCCGGTGCCTTGGCGGTTTACACCGCAGAACAATAATTCACATGAATAGGAAGACATTCCACCTTACGACCGATTCCAGAATTAGAGGGAGTGGTTAAGGTATCCTCCTGGGTTTGGGAAGGATTTTACAGAGAGAAAAACAAATTACGCAAGAGGCTTGGGCAAGAATGGAGAGAAGTTGTCGAATAGCCGAGCATGTATGATCATATTGTACAATGATTAGGTGCCGCTGCCAATGTCTATATACGAGTGAGTACATGCAAAGTATGTCAGCTTAAGACAAATATGACAGCCGTCCACAGCTGCTGCGCACTTCCTCATTCACGGGTCTCTCCGCTGACCACAACGATAACACTTCCAAGCTGTCGCCTGAGATCCTCCTTGTCAACATCATGAGTATCCTCCACTTCTCCCCACATGTCAGTCTGCCATCTCACTTCAAGACTTGATGCTTCTGCTGCCTCTTCGATGCCGAACTTCTTTTGTCCTGACCTTTGCAAGTGACGGAAATTCTCACTCCACTCGACGACCACTCTAACAGCAACCAACAGGCTCTTGCTAGCAACAATTCCTCTTTCTAAAGCAGCTAGATCGTGCGGTCGGAGCGACGAAACCCATTGTTTGATTATGTCCTTCGTAGCCCGGGGCTGAGACACCGGCAAAATGCTGTCCGCGTCAAGAATGGGTACAATGTCGACACCAGGCCACACCTTTGTGCCTAGAAAGGCGATAATATCCTTGGCTACTCTCATTTGAGCTTCTCGAAGGCTTTCAGGCCGCTCTCCACTTTCTTCAGATTCCTCGCCAGCGTATGGATTTCCCTCGGGCACCCAGCACAGTAGAGTATCGGTATCCAGATAGCGCATGGCGAGTTTCACAATCTGGTCCCTCGTGGTAGTCTCGCCCCTTGCATCTTCTTGTGCAATATCTCCCGCTCGCGCAGTCAACGAGGTCAACGGAATAAGATGATTCTTCAAAGCCTGCCTTGCGGACGTCATAACGTCCCACTCGAGAGCAATAGCATGTGCAAGATGCGGTTTCGTCGAAGGAATGGATAAAATATCCTTCGTGGGCGTCCGAATCGGTCGCGTGTCCAATAAAACCTGGTACTCCCCATCTACACACGAAGAAACAGACGAAAAGGTCAGCTTGATGTAAGGCGGAGCGGAAGTTAACAATCCGCAGAAAATAAAGGGTGAGGTACCTGGCCTTTTCCTGACATCGACATTTTTCCAAAATCGCTTCTCGAGAGTCGAGGATGGTTTTGACACTTGCGATTGTGGCTTGCCTGCGACATTTACGTCTTTTCCTTCTTCGGTCGGACGACCGAATTCTGGAGCTGGCGAAGGGGGTTTCGGGGGCGGTCCATGGGCAGTGATAGGATGGGCAACTGCAGCTTTCTGCGAGATGGCATGAAAAGTTCGACAGGACGTCGTAGCTCCCCGCTGCCCCACGGCCGAAATAAGCCGGCAGGAGAGAACTGAAAAGGCGGCTCGAGGGAGAGTTGGCATGGCAGATTGAGGGATGCTTGCGCAAAAACCAAAGAGATATGCACGACAATTAATACCTAGATATCTTTGTTCTAGACGTCTTTGCCAGTAACCAGGTCTAGTTAAATTTTCAACCTTTGGAGAGTTAAGGTCGAGAATGGATTACCTGCTTGGTCTCTGTTGTAAAAGTGCCAGTAGATGGGTTTTGACGTATCTTTGCTTTTTCCTTGAGCTTGTCAGATACCATGATGGTGGGTCAATCGAGATCACCGCAGACTGCGCCACATTCTCCGGTTCTCCGCACATAATCTTAGGTCGAATCTCTAGATGTCGCTGGAACTACAGGTTCTCATTAGAATCGTAATCACACCGGATCATTAAATATTATTGTAAACGAATGACCAACTTGACCGTTGCTAGTTTTGAAGAGTCCGCGGCAAAACGACAAATCAACCATAGATCAGACATATCAGAAAGCCTCCCGGTTGCAATTTTGATGTACCCGATTCAGAAATAGCACACGAATCATTGCGACAAGTCAGAAGTACAACGACACAAGCAATGAACAAGCCTTCCCATGCTTTTTGCTATAAATTACACGGAAAAAGATATCTTTTAAATGCCAAAGCGAGTCAAACAAGGGTATGCGTTCAAGAGGAACATTTCTGTGAAAATCGTTCTGTGGAGCCGACTGCGAAAAGGTGAAATCTGTACTCAGAGAACAGAGGAATATCTTTTGAGGCGATAGGAAAAGAAGCTGCGCCCAGCATTGGCTCACTCAAGTGTTAGGTCAGAAGAGAGATAGGAAGGGACGAGGGAAGTGTATAGGTCCCCAGAGAGCAAATTGAAACCAGCTTCGCCATGCTGGCGCCAGAGTGCGTCTGTGTAACGAGTTTGGAACTTCTGCATGAATACAGAAGGGGAGCTGAAAACTGATCATGGAAATCCCGGCGTCATTAGGCCATTCCATCGTAAGAATGATCTTGAGCATCATGAGAAGACGAAAGGACGAAGGACGAGAGGAGAAGAGGATGGCAAACAGAGAGCATATCAAATATTATCAGTGCTGCTTTGGCTGGTGCAGATGCTCGGTCGACAAGAGCTGATTCGAAGGGAGCGTGTTGCTATCGCATAAGAAGCAGCAAAGCCCTATCGTAGCGGGAGCTTTTCTAATCCATCCAATAAGCACTACTTCCTTATGCTATAATAGCGTTGAGGTGCAGTAAATGTTAAGTGCCCTATGGTTGGGACCTCGAGCCATGTTGAAGCAACAGGAGCGGATCAATCAGTTAGGAGACTTCCTACCGACGAAGGAAAGGAGCACGCAGAGGATGCGCAAAACCCCAATCATTGAGTTATGAAGTTGGGGTAGTACGGCCGCTTCATACGGTCAATATCCGTGCGTCTCTTCATGCGTTCTGCATCATAATCATCGGCACCATCTCTGCTGCCCCACGTGGTCTGCGAGAGGAAGCACAGGCTTCATGTTAGCAAGATTCGTCATAAAAACAAGTAGAGGAAATTGTTCAAAGCGCCGTGGGGTCGTTTTCTCGGAAAGGAAACAAAACTCAAATACAGAGAGGGGAGACAAAAGCCTAACAAATAACGCCTGTAACCTAAGCCAAACGAGGGGGGTTGGAAGAAAGATCGACAACAAGTGTATTATTTCTTGTAGACAGGTACCATGAACAATGCAGTTATGTCGACGAATGATCAAAAGAGAAAAATAAGAAGGAAAGGAAAATGAAAAATAGAAAAATAAAATAATAAGAAAGGTAAGAGAAAAGAAATTGCGCAGCATCTGAATTTCTGAACACAGCAGGCTCGAGTCCACTCCATGCTTGGTGCAAGCCGACAAACTTTTGGAAAATGGGAGACTTACCACATTCAGAGTTAGCACCGCGTACATCTTGATTCCTCCGTGGAAATAACCGAAAAGGATAGAGACGGGCAGAAGTAAGACGTCCACCGGATACCGAATGTAATGTCCTAAGAGTTTGATGAATTTGCTAATAAACATCCATACTCCTAGGGCTTGCATAGCTAGAGCATGCGAGTTTCCTTCCCATGAAATGGTGGCTTTATGGCACAGGAAAAGGAGCAGCAAGTCACCCAAAAGCGCTGGCGGGGACAGCGTTGTCAGATGGACAGCGTACGCACTCCAAGGTTGGCGACTGAGACACAGACCCTCAAATGTTAGCGTGCGGCTTCAAAAGAGGCGCTTGGTGCTTTTTGTGTAGGTTATGTACTTTGCCAAATACGGAAGTGTCATCCATATCCACCCAGGAATCAATACCGATGCGTTGACTTGCCAGTAGAACTCCGGTCCGTTTGAGATTCCTGAGCCAGTGCAGCAGGCCTTTCTCGTGCGGATCTTGATTTCTGACGGATAAACACGCGTTGAAACCTGATTGCAGGCCAAGACGTAGCAGCAAAGGAGGGTGGAAATGGGAGAAGGGAAGGGATGATAGGAAGGGGGAAACGGAGGAGTAAGAAAATTAGGCAATACTTACTACCAAATATGTTTTTCATGGAACATACTGGTGAGGTTGCTTCTCCAGTTGCTTCTTGACCATCGCGCACACTGCTTCAAAAATTTGGGATTGTCTTCCAAGGTTGTCAAAACTTCAGCTTCGGGATGGTACTGCATGAATGTCTCCCAGCCGTGTGATACCATCCAGCGCGTGATGAAATTGTCATCATCTGCATTTAATTGGTATTTACCAAACCACCACTCCTCATTCGTGAAGGCATATGTGAAGCCTTCGTCTTGAAGAATGTGAGTCTTGTATGCAACAGTCCGACCTGACATGCAGGGTAGTCCACCATCCACATGCGTGGTGGCTGCGCAATCAAAGTTTCGGCGCTCTAAGTACAGAGCTCCCAAAAAGCCCCAGATACGTTGCGAGAAAGTGGGCGAAACAGCACGACGCAATCTCTGACAAGTGACAACTCCGCCGTATCTCTCGTCTTTCTCGAACGGGGCGAGAATCCAAGGAAGCACTGTACGTGGCCAGCTGACATCGTCATCAGCAAATACAGTGATAGCCGTGCGAACCTCCGGAATTGCTCTTGTCATTTGGCGACGTTTGTTGGGGTGGGTCACGGTGAAAAGACGAATTCTCGATTTGGAAGCAGGCATTTGACTCAGCATAATTTCGGCCTTCTTCCTATTCGCTTCAATAGTAACCAGTAGAAGTTCATATGGATGATTGTCGAGGATTGTTCTGATCGTCTCGACTAGTTCGTCACCACATCCCTCCAATGTTGGAAGGATAACAGTCACATCTTGCGCTGTCAGCTTCGGATTTTCCGGTGGAGGAATTGGTTTGAAGGTCCAAAATGAGACAAGATTCACAACCAGACGAAAGTAACGGTAAATGCTGTAGGAAGAGAAGTGGTCAATAAATCTAGATTCTCACTTGGATAGATTTTCCAAGGCTGAGGGGCACGATTGACGTGTTTACTTACAAAAGAGCAATAAATGCTCGCATGAATGGGAAAGCCATGATTGACGACCGGCCAACGAGGTTTCCTTGCTATCAAATTGAACTTGCCCCCAATATTCCCTTACTATATCTATCTTTCAAACAGCCCTTCTCCTCTCCCGATATGTGGCTGCGAGCGGTAGACAAAGCTCACAAAAATGTTGAGTCAGGTAATAAGCAAGTAACGACCTTTTTGCCACCACTTCAGCAAGACAATTGTCATCGACAAAGGACGAGGTCGAACTGAGGCGAAATGACCAGGAAGGAAAAGAGTGTGACTCGCCTTCCTACCTATGCAGGAATGGAATAAAGGATCAACAGTGAGAGACTGAAGGAGAGAAAGCGAGAGGCGAGATAGAACGAATGTCTACGTGAGAAAGATGCTCTGCCAGAGACTGGAAGGAGAAATCTTCCGGCTTAATTGGTTTCTGGGAACAGTAAAATAAGTGACAGACATGCAACATTGCAATTATCATTTATGCAGAAGTCCGTGACAGGGAAAACACATGTTTGTTCGAAGTCCAGTATCTTAATAGCTTATAAAGTCAGTTACTACGACTACATTCTTTAGAACACAATCCACAACAGAAATAGAAAATAACAATTAATGCCAGCGAATGGGAGGCATGTATTACTTGTGGGCTCTAGGTCCTTTGTCTTTTTGAGTGTCATGCAGGTTGTATTTTTGCCTCGTGCGTCAGAGACCCTGGATCTAGATGGACTGATGGACTGATGGAGCATAATGAGGGTGGAGAAAGGATTGGCAGCGGTCCATGCAGCTAGTAGTGTATGCAGTGACATGGAGCAGGAGTGGATGGTGGGTATCGTCGTCAAAAGGAGAAATGAAAAATAATAATCAAATGGAACAAAATACTAATAAGACCACACTGGCCAGTTACGATAGTTACCTTAATGTACAATATCCAGTAGTCAGGTAGATACTACCTTAGGTATCTGCTAATTAGCCTGGTAGTGCCTGTATTGGATAGATAGTGGTGTTCAAAACTACCTTTTGGAGAAGCGAGCTTAGGGACGCGGGCTATGATATTTCAGGAAAGAAATTGGTGCACTGTCTAGGACATTTCCGAGATAAGTACAGAGTACCTTACTGTCAGCTGTCAGCACAGGCTTGAGCGATCCTACTTCGAGTCTGTTATACCTATCTTAGCTACCTTAGGTCTTTCCCCCGTTTCTGTGGTCTCCCTCGCGCAACTGCGAATACATAATAAAAAGTGGACAGGAAGTTGACGATATTGATCTGCAACCGGCTCGCATATTATCTATGCATACTGATTCTTCAATTGAATAGCCTACAAAGTGACGAGCAAGTGATGCCGATTGACCGACCGGCGAACTAACGCATTAGTGCTTGGTACTATGTAGAAAGCAGAGTGGAGAAGGCATTAAATAGCTATTGGTTGTCGGGTGGTCCGTGCCTTGCTCTTAGGACTTAGGTCTTATAACACATTTTATTACTCTCCATTTATGATTCTCAACATCCTCATTACTCATTCTGAGGTCTATTGTATCTTA